ACTGTTCTGAACTCTTCAGTTTGCCTTTTTAATAACAGGTCTGCCAGAATCGAATAGGAAATTTTGCAAGTCTGGATTAACTGGATTTCAGTGCGTGTGGCATCTGCTTATCCTGAGGTCTGAATGTCCATGCTCAGATTGAAATGTGTAGGTGAACAGGTCATGTGAAAACTGGAGTGACTAATGGGAACTCGCAGTGCTAGAAGTTCCCCCATGGTCTGTGTGGGGAGGACATGAACAGGCTTCACAACTGGAATCTGGACTTCATCATGGTGTCGTCCTTGCCTGGCAGCACTTCCTAGCATCATCAGGAGCACTGATGGGCCTTTTCCTAGTCGGAAATAGCTTTCATGGTTTTAATTTGCAGCTGTCTGAATTATCTTATAATTGAGCAGATTAGCTGAACTGAGAAGCACAGAGGGCTTTTAATTTTTTATATATCTTTTAAGGATTTTCTGTGGAGTTGTCTCTTAAGAGAATAACTTAATGTCTTGCTTGAAACACAAGCTTGTGAGACTTTTTTCCCCCCTTTGTCTATGGCTTACTTAATATAAAGGGGTTTTTTTGTCTTTAAATGTCACCACAAGTTACAGTAATATACTGTTTAGTATAGCAAGCAGTAGTCGGTTGCTCCCAGGTGTTTCGGGACTTCTTTCTGTAAGGGTGAAACTTTTCAGTATCCCTTGTCCAATGACAACAGCAGCTAACACAAGTGTGTATGTTTGAATACTATACTCATGCAAACCGATTGGAAAATAGGTTGCTGCCACAAGCTCTGATAAGGTTTCTATGTGAGGAGAGTCGTTTAGGAAAATAGTTGGTTTGGACATACTGAAATTAATCACAAATTGATTTTCATACAGTGAACAGTTTTAAGCTGAACAAGTGGATTTCACTTTATTATAAATTAAAATTCTTCCAACTTACCTGAAATGGCATTCTTCATATAAAAAATGGTATTTAGAAAGCATTTTTAAAAGGCAGCTAAGTATTCCCAAAATAAGTAAAATATCTTGGGGGAGGGAGGGAAGAGGCATTGACTGGAGGAGGATGACTCCGTTTTGGCTGCCTTAGTAGGTAAAATTTTGGGACATACTTTGTATCAGTAACTTACTTTGCCTTGCCATGGAAGTGTCCTTTGCCCAAAAAGTTGTAATTGATGCAACTACAGATTACTTTTTTTCATTTCTTTTATTATTTTCAGAGCTACTAAATGCAGCATGAACCTGCAGGTAGTTTTCCTTCGGAAGGACGTGAATGAGAATGTGGACAGGCTGCTGCGCTTTTTTTTTTTTTGAGTTGGATCAAAATTACTCCGCTGGACATTTGGAATGCAAAGCTGTGCTAGTAAACCTGTAAGGTCTGGGTCTGTCCAACCATGTACTAAAGGTGTGTGCTGCTGCTGCTGCACCTCCCTTAATTGTAATTAGCAGAGCGAGAGAGCTGTTGTGAAGCCACAGGCCACCCAGTGGTAACGCCCATTCTGGGGTGCTGCCTTGCCCTGGGTCTGCTCCCCTCCCTGCTGTGGAGTGTCCTGCACCTCCAGGAAGTGCTGCCACGCTTTCAGGATGTGACAGTGGATGTGATCCTGCCGATCAGAGTCTCTCCCCATGCAGAAACATCCTCAGGTCCCAGCGCATGTGTTTGTTGTGAGCGAGTGCAGGTGGGGGACTGTGGGCGCAGGGGCAGGCCAGCTGCTGCACCACCAGGCAGTTAGGAGCTAAGGAACAAACACAGCTTCCACCACCCATCAGGGAGCTTGTTTTAAAAACGGCATTGTACAGCTGAGTAGTAGGAAATCTTGCAAAATCATGCCTAAACATATGTATGTTTATTCTGCTTGTAAGCTATTTTATAGTTCCACAAGTGCTTTTCCATATTTCAGTATGTATGTGATGTAATTAATTTATATAAAACAAAGTTAACAAGTTGGTGGATTTTTGTGGAGGTGCAAGATCAGCCAACTGCTGTTTTGTTAATCCTTGTGGTACATTTCCTTTGTGGTATTTTTCCTTTGTATATTAACCTTTAGATACCATGTAAGTAGATGTTTGCTGTGCATTTGTAAAAGGGCAGGTGTGACTTTATAAGTTATCCCCAAATACTTGAATGCCTTTCCGTTGCTAATTATATTCATTTGTGGTAGTTCTTAAACTTTGTCAAATATTCATTGGGACAATCCATGATTTGGGGAATTTTGAAACAGCAGCCAGGATAATTAGGTTCAGGGGCTAAGGCGACTGATGGGTCAGTGTTCTTTAATATGATTAGTGTGCTTGAGTTTTTGTCCCAGAAACTCATGTCTCCCTCAGCACGCTCTACATTACACACACCAATGGGTCAGCTGAGTTTGCTCTACATCGCTCAGTGTTATTCTAATCATTTGCTCTGGACAAAATAGTGGAATCCCTGGTATTTGGTATGCCAGTGAGTGGAGCTGTTGGATGTGAATATTAAGCAACTTGTAATAACACTTGAAGGCTGGTAACCACAGGTGTTGTTATTGGAAAACCATCTTTTCTCATTTATTGTTTGTGTGTTTCTGGTGTGCTGTTAGGAACTTGCTGCTTAGGCATGTGCTTCGGCTCCCCAGAAATCTCACTGGAAGAAAGCCGAAGCTGTTCTCATGCTTAGGACCAGCATGGTTGCCTCTGCCACACAGATCTTGCCACTGAACCTTCCTCACCCCCTGCCCCAGTGAGGTTTGAGCTCCTCTCAGAAGGTGTAAAAAAAGCTGCAGGAGGCAGATACTCTCCGGAAGAGCCCAGCTGGCCTGGCTTCCACCTCCCACGCTTGGGAAACAGAGAAGAGGGCAGGTCTCAGTCACTCTGTGGTGGCCAGGTGACTTTAAAAAAAAATAGGGAATTCTTAATGACAGAGAACTAACACCACTGGAGGTTACCCTTCTGGAAAAGGATACCAGAATCCCTCAAAGTCCCTACCTATCCATTATGTACCTTCTGTGGCTGTGGGGTGCTTAGGGATGTCTGGCCAGCACTTGGACTGATCACTGGGCAGTGATCGCAGGGATGGTGCACAGTGTCTACAGACTTGTCTCCCTTGGGGAACACCCAGCTTCCAGATCCTCCTCCTCCTGAAGGGCCCACCCTGGGCTCTGGGGCATTTGTCTTGGCCTCTGAAGAGTGGCTTAGTCCTGCTTGTGTGCTGCCTGACTGCCTGGGTGCACATAAACTTTCAGTTTCTCACTCACTGGGTGTTTACTTTCAGATTTGTGTCTTTGTTTCCAGGTCTTCATGACAAACCAGGCCATACCCAGTGGGTGGGACTTTTTCCTACGGACTATTTGATTGTTTTGGTAAATGACCCACCTCTACAGGAAGGTGGCCCGAGGGCCTGGCCTGCTTTGGAATGAGGAAGGAAGAGGAAACCACTGAACTCTGACGGTTCTCAGCTCTGGAAGAAATCTCTCTGCTTCGAAGGAGTGACAGACGTAAATGTCAGGAGTACTGTCACTCCCGGTGTTTGCACTCACAGGCAGGCCCCTGCAAGCACTTCCAGGAACTACACTTCTGTGTCTCTGTTATGCATTACTCGACTGTGTTCTGAGGTCTGTTATTAGCTCAGGATGGATGTTTAAAAAAGAATTTTTTTCTTACAGAGCTTGCTCTTTCTTGCCCATTTCTAGTGCCCACCTGTACCCTGCAATAGGTACTTCAGGCTGTCCTGCTACCACTTCTCTCTTCAGCTCTACACATTCTTCAGTAAGTATTTACTGCTTTGCTGTAAACTCCCCTATCTTCCATTACTGTCTTTCAGAGGCTGCCTAGGCTCTTCTCCTAATTTTGGGTGGTTGTTCCTTTTGTTGTTGGTGGTTTTGGGTTTTTCCTTACGAAGACAGACCATCAGTGGCGGCCTGCAGCCCAGGGCCAGCAGCT